GTGGGGGAGGGGGTCCTGCGAGCCCGGCTCTCCCCCCCCACGGCGGTGGGCTCTTCCCCCCCCCTCGAGTATCCCGCAGGCTGCTTTGCAAGGGGGAGGGGCTGCGGTGGAGGGGGGTCCCCCAGATGGGGAGGGCCGGGAATTGGGTCTGGGGTCTTTCGTAAGGCACCCCCCCCCCGGGTGTGGCTTCCTGAGTCCGGGTCTTCGCTTGGAAAGGAGCCCCCGGCTGAGCGGCTTTTTGGGAGGGGGGTCTTCCAAGGGAGGGGGCTGGCTGCGCCGCTCACTGGTTAGAGCTGGGGGGTCGACCCCCCCTGCCCCGCCGAGGGGGGGGTCCACGCAGCCCAGCCGTGTCCTGGGATGGAGACCCCCCCTGACTCAGCCAGGAAGAGAGAGGGAGAAAAGGGCTTTGGGTTCTGCAGGGAATTTGGATTGCTGGCAGACCTGAACTGGCCTCGGGGGAGCCATGGACGCCGAGACAGGTAACCCCCCCCCCCAGAGTTATCCCGGAGGTTTTCTGGGAAACCCAGAAGAAGGGAAGGGGAGAGGGAGAGAGAAGAAAGAAAGAAAGAAAGAAAGAAAGAAAGAAAGAAAGAAAGAAAGAAAGAAAGAAAGAAAGAAAGAAAGAAAGAAAGGAAAGAAAAAAGGAAGGAAGGAAAGGAGGGAGGGAGGGAGGGAGAAAGGAAGGGAAAGAAAAAAAGAAAGAGAGGGGAAGGGAAGGGAAGGAAAAGGGACGGAAGGAGGGAAGGAGACATGGAGGGAGGGAGGGGAAGGAACGAAAGAAAGGAGGGAGGGAGGGAGGGAGAAGGGAAGGGAAAGAGGGAAGGAGACATGAAGAGAGGGAGGGAGAGAGGGAGAGAAAAGAAAGAAGAAAGAAGAAAGAGAAAGAAAGAAAGAAAGAAAGAAAGGTGGGAGGGAGGGAGGGAGGAAAGGAAGAAAGAAAGGAAAGAAAAAAGAAAGGAAGGAAAGGAGGGAGGGAGAAGGGAAAGGAAACAGAAAAAGAAAGAGAGGGGAAGGGAAAGAGAAAAGGAAAGGGAAGGGAAGGAGGGAAGGAGACATAAAGAGAGGGAGAGAGAGAAGGAGAGAAAAGAAAGAAAGAGAGAAAGAAATGTGGGTGGGAGGGAGGGAGGAAAGGAAGAAAGAAAGGAAAGAAAGAAGGAAGGAAGGAAAGGAGGGAGGGAGGGAGAAGGGAAGGGGAAGAGAAACACCCCCCCCNAAGAAAGAAAGAAAGAAAGAAAGAAAGACAGAAAGGGAAGGAAAGGGGGCGAGGGGGGAGGGAGAAGGGAAGGGAAGGGAAAGAGAAAAAGAAAGAGAGAGAAAGGGGAGGGGAGGGAAGGAGGGAAGGAGACATGAAGGGAGGGTGGGAGAGGGGAGGGAAGAGGAGAGGAGAAAGAGAGAGAGAGAGAGAGAAAGAAAGAAAGAAAGGTGGGAGGGACGAAGGAAGGAAGGAAAGAAAGAAATAAAAGAAAGGAAAGGAAGGAAGGAAGGAAGGAAGGAAGAAAAAGAAAGAGAAAGGGAAGGAAGGGAGGGAGGGAGAAGGGAAGAGAAGGGAAAGAGAAAAAGAAAGAGAGAAAGGAAGGGAAGGAAAGGGGAGGGGAGGAAAGGGGAGAGAGAGGGGGAGGGGAGAGGAGAGGAGAGAGAGAGAGAGAGAGAGAGAAAGAAAGAAAGAAAGAAAGAGAAAGGGAAGGAAGGGAGGGAGGGAGGGAGAAGGGAAGAGAAGGGAAAGAGAAAAAGAAAGAGAGAAAGGAAGGGAAGGAAAGGAAAGGAAAGGGGAGGGAAGGAAAGGGGAGAGAGAGGGGGAGGGGATGGGAGAGGAGAAAGAGAGAGAGAGAAAGAAAGAAAGAAAGAGAGAGAGAGAGAGAGAGAGAAAAAGAAAGGTGGGAGGAAAGAAAGAAAGAAAGAAAGAAAGAAAGAAAAAGAAAGGGAAGGGAGGGAGGGAGGGAGGAAGAAGGGAAGGGAAGGGAAAGAGAAAAAGAAAGAGAGAAAGAGGAAGGAAAGGAAAGGGGAGGGAAGGGAAGGGAAGGGGAGGAGGGAAGGAGACATGAAGGGAGGGAGAGAGAGAGGGGGAGCGGAAGAAAAAAAGGAGGGAGGGAGGGAATGAGGGAAGGAGATGGAGGGAGAGGAAGGAAGGAAGGGAAGAATGGAGGGAAGGACGAAGAGGGGGAAAGGAAGGGAAGGAAAAGAAAGAGAAGGGAAAGAGGGAAGGAGACATGGAGGGAGAGAGAGAGGGAGGGGAAGAAAGAAAGGAGGGAGGGAAGGAGACAGGGAAGGAGACAGGGAGGGGGGAAGGAAGGAAGGAAGGAAGGAAGAAAGGAAGGAAGGAAGGAAGGGTGTATCAAGGCTCCATGGACGTCAGTCTTTCTCTAATGTTGTCTTAAGAAAGAAAGAAAGAAAGAAAGAAAGAAAGAAAGAAAGAAAGAAAGAAAGAAAGAAAGACAGAGAAAGGGAGGGAGGGGCACGTGGGAAATCTCTCAATTCCTTTGTGTAACTTTCTCTTTCAAACTCCCAGGGGAGGAACTCCGGCTGATCCTGGTGGGGAAGACCGGAGGCGGGAAGAGCGCCACGGGCAACACCATCCTCAGCCGGAGGGAGTTCAAGTCCACCTTGGGGCCAAACGCCACCACCCTGAAGTGCGAAAGGGGGCAGGGAACCTGGCAGGGCAGGAAGGTCTCCGTGGTTGACACGCCAGGCATTTTCGAGTCCGAAAACTACGATGAGATTGTGCGACGTGAGATCCTGGCTTGCATCAACTTCTCCCGGCCCGGCCCCCACGCCCTGATCTTGGTGACCCAGGTGGGGCGCTTCACCGCGGAAGATGCGGCTGCCGCCAAGTGCGTCTGGCATATCTTTGGGGCCGAGTCCGCCAGGCACACCATCGTCCTCTTCACCTGCCTGGAGGATTTGGGAGGGGCCTCCCTGCAGGAGTATGTCCGAAAGTCCGACAACCGGAATCTGCGGGACCTGATCCGGCGGTGCGGGAACCGCTTCTGCGGGTTCGACAACAAGGCCGTGGGAATCGAGCAAGAGAGGCAGGTCTCGGAGCTGATGGGGACGGTGCAGAGCCTCGTTTCCCAGAACCGGGGGAGCTACTACGTCAACCGGCTGTACGGGGAGCCCAACCTACGGGACGAGCACGTCAGGATCTTCGTCGAGCAGAACCGAAAGCCAGGCAGAAGCCTCATCAAGCTGCTCTTCCTTCCACTCCGGTTGGCCTGTTGTGTATGCAGAAAGGCATATTCCATCTTGAGAATTGTGTGTTCTGTCACGAAAAAGGTATTTGTCAAAGTGTTTCGCTGGTTTTTCCCCGCACGTCTTTGAAGTACGACTTCATTTTTTGGCCGCAAAATCCGGAAACGGTGCGGTTCGTAATTCCCTTTTTTTTCTTCGAGAAATAAACAATGGCAGACCCGCAGGTCTGGTGTCCTCTCTGCTTCTCCTTTGCCTTTGACTGCTGAAATGGGCCTGGGGGGTCAGCTGGGGGTCGTCCCTGCCTTCCTGGGGTCCAGCGAGAGAAGGGGGTCCTTATCTTTAAAGATCCTCCTCCATCTTCTCAAGGGCACCAGGATCCTGCCCCACAGCCCTTCAACGCCAGCCCGGCCCCACGTCCTTGCCTTTGCCCCAGTCCAACCCAGTGTCACCAGTATCAAAGGGGTATTTCCCCCATAAGCCGAGAGCATCCCAGGTGGGTGAAGTCTGTTCTGTACACAAGAGGGGAATTCAGCGTGTTTGTCATCCTTCCCACTTAGTCCAATTAGCAAAAAAAGAACTCCTCGTTCTCCCCCCCCAAGGGTATACTTTACAGATTAGAGCAGGGGTCCCCAATCACCCGAATCTGTGGACCGGTACCAGGCTGCGGCGTGCCAGAAACCGGTCCGTGCAAACAAGCGGAATCCCATCCGCGGAGACGCAGGCAACAAGTGAAGCCAAACACTCCTTCTGGTCCGCGGTAAAACCTCTCTGCACGGAAGCGGTCCCTGGTGCCCAAAAGGCTGTTGGGAAGGGGGTGCTGGATCTGTTGGTTTGGCACCACGACGACGCAATGAACTTTCCCTTTTCCCCTGGCCCACCCCTCCCCCTCCCTGTGTTATCGGTCCACGTCCAATTAAAAGTTCTCAGGCTGTTTTGGAAAGGGACCCTGCGGTTGTGTCGATCAGCTCTGCCATTCGTCGCTGGAGGTGGGAGGAAATCCATACCTGCATGTGTATGTCAAGGGAAATTGGGAGGGGGGGAATGACGATTGGACACCGATGGACTGATCGAGGGCAGGGGGTGGGAGGCGGAGCAGGGAAAGGGGGAAAAAGGCAACCTTTGCGCGGGAATGCTCAGATCCAGCTTTGCTTACACTGTAACTGCTGGAATTTAGGAATGAGAAGCTTTCGCGTCAAGGAACGGAGTCGAGGGTGTTTCTTTCCGAAAGGTCTAAAATGGGGTGAGCCTGACACATTTGGAGCTCGGCATATATTCTCTCACAGGTTTCCATCGCTTAAGCCAGGGGTACCCAACTTTCCTGGGTTGGCGGCCCGGTGGGAGAGGGAGGGGCAGGCGCCTTATGTCCATGTGCGCAAACATGACAATGGCTATATGTGTGCGTGCATGCGCACACACACAGGCAGTGAGCGTGCGCGCCATGCCTCTCTCAGCGACGCAGGTATCTGTGTGAGGCTTGTGACGCCGACGACGCCAGGCTCGCGGCGATACGACTACCGGCGCGAGGATCGTACTGGCGCCAACTCCATGTGAGGCTTACGCCATGGCCTGTGTGAGAGTAGCAGCAACGGAGGAATGAGAGGGGATGAGCACGCACACACAGGTGCAAGCACTGCTCAGCTACTCCCTCCCTCGTTCCCTCCCTCCTTTCTTTCTCTCCCTCCCTCCCTCCCTCCCTTCTTTCTTTCTTTCTATATTTCTGTCTGTCTTCCTCCCTTCTATCTTTCTTTCTTTCTTTCTCTTTCTTTTTCTTTCTCTCCCTCTCCCTCTCCCTCTCCCTCCCTCCTTTCTTTCTGTCTTTCTTACTCTCTCTCTCTCTCCTTCCCTCCTTTCTTTCTTTCTCTCTCTCCCTCCCTCCTTCCTTCCTTCCTTCCTTTCTTTCTCTTTTCTATATTTCTGTCTTCCTCCCTTCTTTTCTTTCTTTCTTTCTTTCTTTCTTTCTTTCTTTCTTTCTTTCTTTCTTTCTTCTTTCTATATTTCTATATTTCGGCCCGCGTGATAGTAGCAGCAACGGTGGAACAAGAGGGGGTGAGCACGCGCACACGGGCATGTGCACTGCCCAGCTACTCACGGGGCCCGGTGGCCAAGTAAGCCAGGGTCCGGTAATGCACTGCAGCCCACAAGTTGGGGACCACTCTTCCAGTCCAACCCTCGACTTGAGCAGGAAACCCTTACAGAATTCCAAAAGGATAGAGTTGGAAGGGACTTTGGAGGTCATCTAGCCCAGCCCACCCACTCAAGCCGGAGATTAAGCTTTCAGAAGCCAGTGAAAGTGAAACTGGGCAACAGATGACAGGTGGAGGGACCCACCTGTCCTAGGCTGAGCCTGGACAAAGTGCAAGGTGTGCCTGCATTTTATGGCCCTGTTTATACCTGGGATATCAGGAAGGGCACACCTGTTTACGAAGGTTCACTGTTTCCATCCTTGGGGGGGGGAGAGGTATCCCGAGTGCTTCTTGGGCTGGTAGGGCTGCTTGGGAGTAGTAGTAGTAGTAATAATAATAATAATAATAATAATATTAATAATAATAATAATAATAATAATAATAATAATAATAATAATAATAATAATAATAATAATAATAATAATAATAATAATAATAATAATAAAGTTGGAAGGGACTTTGGAGGTCATCTAGTCCAACACACTGCTTAAGCAGGAGACCCTTACAGAACAGGAGAGTTAGAATAGAATAGAGTATAGAATAGAATTTAAAAAAGAATAGAATAGAATAGAATAGAAAATATAGAATAGAAAATATAGAATAGAATAGAATAGAATAGAATAGAATAGAATAGAAAATGGAATGGAATATAGAATATAGAATAGAATAGAAAATAGAATAGAATAAAAAATAGAATAGAATAGAATAGAATAGAAAATAGATAGAATAGAATAGAATAAAAAATAGAATAGAATAAAATAAAATAGAATAGAATAAAAATAGAATAGAATAAAATAAAAATAGAATAGAATAAAAAATAGAATAGAATAGAATAGCAAATAGAATAGAATAAATAGAATAGAATAGAATAGAATAAAAAATAAAATAGAATAAAAAATAGAATAGAATAGAATAGCAAATAGAATAGAATAGAATAGAACGGAAAATGGAATGGAATATAGAATATAGAATATAGAATATAGAATATAGAATAGAATAAAAAATAGAATAGAATAAAATAGAATAGAATAGAATAAAAAATAGAATAGAACAGAATAAAAATAGAATAGAATAAAAAATAGAATAGAATAGAATAGCAAATAGAATAGAATAGAATAGAATAAAAAATAGAATAGAATAGAAAATAGAAAATAGAATAGAATAGAATAAAAAATAGAAAATAGAATAGAATAGAATAAAAAATAGAATAGAATAGAATAGCAGAACAGAATAAAAAATAGAATAGAATAGAATAGAAAATAGAATAGAATAAAAAATAGAATAGAATAAAAAATAGAACAGAATAGAAAATAGAATAGAATAGAATAGAATAGAAGGGACCTTGGAGGTCTTCTAGTCCAGCCCCCCCCCCATTCAAGCAGGCGATTAAGCTTTGAGAAGCCAGCGAAAGGGAAACTGGGCAACAGGTGACAGATGACAAAGTCCCAGGTGCGCCTGCATTTTATGGCCCTGTTTATACCTGGGATCCAGGAAGGGCTCACCTGTTTAAGAAAGGTTCCCTGTTCCCAGCCTTGGGGGTGGGGGGAGAATCCCGAGCGCTTCTTGGACTGGTGGGTCTGCTTGGGAGGCAGATGAAGGAGAAGGAGAAGGAGAAGGAGAAGGAGAAGAAGAAGAAGAAGAAGAAGAAGAAGAAGAAGAAGAAGAAGAAGAAGAAGAAGAAGAAGAAGAAGAAAAGAAGAAGAAGAAGAAGAAGAAGAAGAAAAGAAGAAGAAGAAGAAGAAGAAGAAGAAGAAGAAGAAGAAGAAGAAGAAGAAGAAGAAGAAGAAGAAGAACTATAATAAAGTGGGAAGGGACCTTGGAGGTCATCTAGTCCCGCGGTGGCGAACCCTCTTGGTTGCTGCCCGCCCCACTGCCAACGATGGAGGGACGCCGGGCCCAGCATGCGGAGTCTGGGCACGGGCGAGAGATCTGGGCGGGGTGAGGCTATAAAAGGTGCAACTTTGGGCCGGAGCAGCATTTGCTGCAGACAGCGAGCGAGCGAGCGAGCGAGCAGGAGCCGACACTGATAAGTTTCAACGGCGGGCCCCCAACGAGGCAGCGGTCACTCACCGGCTGCCCAGCCTCGTGGGGCCGTGGCGATGGAGGCCGCAGCGTCGAAAGGCGCGGTGGGGCAGAGACGACCTACCTGGCGGTTAAGCGGCCTGGCCTCGGCCACCGAGGGCTGGACTAGATGACCTCCAAGGTCCCTTCCTACTCTGTTCTTCTGTGATTCTACAGGCCAATCAGGTCCGGAGAAATTGCAAGGATTAGAATAGGAATGGAATGGAATAAAAAGAATAGAATAGAATAGAATAGAATAGAATAGAATAGAATAGAATAGAATAGAATAATAAAAAGAATAGAATAAATAGAATAGAATAGAATAGAATAGAAGAATAAAAAGAATAGAATAGAATAGAAGAATAAAAAGAATAGAATAGAAGAATAAAAAGAATAGAATAGAATAGAAGAATAAAAATAGAATAGAATAGAAGAATAAAAAGAATAGAATAAATAGAATAGAATAGAATAGAACAGAATAGAAGAATAAAAAGAATAGAATAGAATAGAACAGAATAGAAGAATAAAAAGAATAGAATAGAATAGAATAATAAAAAGAATAGAATAAATAGAATAGAATAGAATAGAATAGAAGAATAAAAAGAATAGAATAAATAGAATAGAACAGAATAGAAGAATAAAAAGAATAGAATAGAATAGAATAGAAGAATAAAAAGAATAGAATAGAAGAATAGAATAGAATAGAATAGAATAGAAAATAGAATAGAATAGAACAGAACAGAACAGAACAGAGCAGAGCAGAGCAGAGCAGAGCAGAACAGAACAGAATAGGATAGAAAATAACAGAATAGAACAGAACAGAATAGAAAATAGAACAGAACAGAACAGAACAGGAACACGGTCCCTTCCAATTCTTTATACTATGATTCCTTAAGAGTCTCCTGCTTGAGCAGAGGGATGGATTAGATGACCTCCAAGGTCCAACTCTGTCCAGTGGCTGGGTGGGGATGGGGAGGGCTGGGGTGGCCTGGAAAGGGCGAGGAGGGCAGCCCCTCCTCCGCCCCAGTTTTATTTCCCCTGGTGGGGGGGCGGGCCAATCGGGGGGGGCGGAGTCTCCTTCACTCCCCCCCCCATTAGTGAGATTCCTCCAGCCTCCCCCCCCCCATCCATCCATTCAAAGTTCCTTTGAAGAACTTTTCTTGAGTGGGGGGGGGCGGCAAGGAGGGCAGGGAATTGGGTCTGGGGTCTTTCCGTAAGACAGCCCTCTCCCCCCCCCCCGGGTGTGGCTTCCTGAGTCCGCTC